TGTCAAGGACTACTTTAATATCAAGTTACAAGTTCATTCCATACGAAATACAAGCATGTGAATTAAATTCCATACAAAAGAAATAATTAAATATAAGTCTCAAAACTTATCTGATTATTCTCTTTTTGATACATGTGAGGGAACTTGTCAAGGAAATCAAGGATACCAAGTTAGAAACTTAATCAAGTCCATGGAATCATTGAATAGATTTTTAATTAATTCACTTAATTAAAATCTTTAGATTTTGAAACTCATCCAAATGATCTCAAATTAAAGTATGTTATTAAACATGTCAAGACTTAATTTAATAGCATAATGCAAGTAAATTCCATGTAAGATATAACCATGAGGATTAAACCTTTATACAAGAAAGTAATTAAATGAAAGGTTTCAAAACCTAATCAAATATTCTCGATTTAATATATCTGAAAGTATATGGCAAGCTCATCAACAATATCAAGTCAGAAATCCAATGAAGTGAATAGTACACTTGTAATAAAATTAATCAATCTAATTAATTAATTATTACTAGATTTTAAAACATTTCTGATTATTCTCAAATTCACATATGTTAAAGAGTATGCTAGGATCTAATTTAATATCACATTACATGTTGATTTCAAGCTAGATACAACCATATGAATTAAAATTTCATTCAAGAAAATAATTAAATAAAAGTTTCAATACTTGTCCAAATGCTCCCAATTTAATATATGTCAATGAACATATTAAGGTGTAATTTAATAGTATGCCACAAGTTTAAACCAAGCTATAACCAACCGGGAGAATTAAATCTCATACAAGAAAATAAATAAATAAAGTTTCTAGATTAAATCCAAAGGCATATGATTAAGTTGTGTAAGCATGGAATATACTCAATATAACCAAGATATAAACCTAAGACATCCCCTACCTCAATTTGAGATGAAATCTCAAATCCCCACCGAAAGAAAAGTACTCTGAATCCGACGATACTCCTAGGTTATGTCGGGGACAACAAGGTGATCATTAAACACTAAGGAGGTCTCACCAAAATCCAAACTTTGCTTCAAACCTGAACTCAAAAAGTGGCCGAAAACGGATTATAATAACAGGGAAAGGTAGAGCACGTCAAGGCTTTCGATAAACGCTAAGGCTCGAAGCAAATAACCAAGGAAAGAGAGTGGAGGAGAAGAAAGAATGGTGACAGCCCCTTGGGCTGCCATGTCTGCCGGTCAAGAGAGGGAGAAGATGGCTGAAAAAGTGATTTTTGACTTTAAGTCATTCTATTTATATTAAAACCCTAAAAGTGCCCTGAAAGGGCCCCTCTGGGTCTGGAAAAGTGCAATTTGAGCAGACGTACTCAAACGGTAAAACACCATGAATAAAGAAGAATCAAAATGAAAAAAATTGAATAACGGAAGAAATGACGTCGAAAATGGAGTCCCGAGCAGAGAGATATGCCCCGAACAAGTTCGGCGGCAACCGGGGTCAGAAATCCCTAAAACTGGGAAAAACGACCTAGAGGAAATTCTAAGAGTGCCCGACTCGACGAAATGTGAAAATGAATCCCGTACGAGGATCCAGGCTCAAAATGAGGCATTTTGAAATAACTTTCGTTAATTACACAATGGGCCCTCCAAGAAAGGATAACTGCAAAAATGACTCAGAAAGAAAATATCTTCTAAAAATATTTTCTTAAAAACCCCTAAAATAAAATATTTTCAAAGATATTTACAAAAAACACCACAAGGAAAGAAAATATTTTCGAAGAAACTATGCATCCATACCCCTATGGACAAGGGGAGTAACCAGAGTACTTTTCTACAAAAGTAAAGATACGTATTTCGTGAAAGCCACTTAGAATGAAGGTACGTGAAGTCGAAAATCAACTCCGAGCATTAAAAGTGAGGTTACGCCAACAAAGTGACAAACGGAGAAAAAGACGAAAAATGAATAGTGTCGAAGAACGAAAAATGTGGAAATAATATGGACCTTTAAGAAAGTTGTCAATCCAAAGGAAAGAATCTCGGAAACCATTTCTGAGCACTCGAGATGACACCAAGTGACGAGAAACAGAATTCAGAAAAGAAAATTAAACGAAAAAATTTGCCCGTAAAATTTGAGAAAAAGGAAATGAGGGAAATTGACCGGATCATTACATAATCCAACCTTGATTTCCAAGAAAAATACACTCCATATCCCTTGGGACAATCCTTACTCATTCTTGCTATATTTTAGTTAGTAGTGGTAGTGGCATTCTATAAATTTAAACTTGGCCACACTACACACTTTTATTGCAACTCGGTATTGACCACACCACCTGACTCTATTTCAACTGAGAAATCTTTTTAACATCTGATTTTCCACTCCACAAGAAACATTTGAATCCCCTTTCTAAATCAACTTTGACCTCCCAAGGAATTTTTAATCCAAAAAACCCAGTGATACAGATAATAATAAAGAACTGACCTCAACAATTCAATCCTTCCTGCGATAGACAGATTGATGGTATTCCAATGAGTTAACCTCCCATTAATTTTATCCATAAGCATTCTGAAAATCATCAGTTCTTAAATTGTTGTTGGACAAAGGTAAGCCAAGGTATTTGAAAGGAAAGTGTTCAGTTTGAAATTATAGGATCTTAGAGATATTTCTTCTACCTTTGACAGATTTAGAGAAAATAACAGAACTTTTCTCTTTATTTACCTGAAGTCCAGTGGCTTGTTTAAACCGTTGGAGAAGCTTATCGATAGCTTTGACAGTAGGTATGTCTGCTTTGACCACCATTAAGAGGTCATCTACATAAAAAGTATGAGAGATCTTCATATTTTTCTATGACACAGCCTTTGACACTTTGATCTTACCCTCAACAATAGCAATCTCCATCAAATTACTGAAGTATCCTGTGACAAATGCAAATAGCAGAGGTGAGAGAAGGCAGCCTTGTCTTATACCTGTGGAAGCAGAAAAGAAACCAGCTGGAACACCATTACACATAATTGAGAATTTTGGAGAATTAATACAAACATTAGTCCATTTGTCACTAAACCCATGTCCTTGTAACACTTTCTGAATAAAAACCTAATCAACAGAATCATACACTTTCTTCAAATCAACCTTCAAAGCAATAGTTGGATCGCCATGTTTTTTTCCAAATCCACTAATTAGATCAGATACTAACAGAGTATTGCCATGAAGCCTTTTATATTTAATAAACACAACTTGCTCAGGACCAATGATGTTGGGAAGAACTTTACTCAGTCTTTTTGCCAAAATTTTAGATATAATTTTGTACGCCAAATTACACAAGGCAATGGGCTTGTAATTAGCAATTTTGTCACCATGATTTGCCTTGGGAATGAGGGTCAAAAATGTGGAATTGATACCTTGTGGAAGGGTACTTTCAGTGAAAAAGCAACTAACAACATTGATCACATCTTGTCCAATACACCTCTAATAATGTTGATGAAATCTGGCTGGAATCCATCTGGACCTGGTGCCTTATCAGGATGAAATTGCATAATAACACCTTTAATTTCCTCTGCTGATATACCACAATCTAAACTCTGAGCATCTTCATCACTTAGAACTTTTCTTGGGGTCTTCAACATAGCCACAATGTCTCCTTATGTCTTGTACAATTCATCATAGAATGTAACCAACCAGTCTTTAATAGTATTAGGATCAGCCGACACCTCACCATTGGAATTTTGCAGTTGAGTAATAGAATTTGAGTATCTCCTTTGTCTAACGACATTATGGAAAAAAGCAGTACATTTATCCCCTTCTTGCAGCCATTGAATCCTAGACTTTTGAGCCTAATAAATTTCTTCAAGTTCCAAAGCTTGTTGTAATTTACCTGTCAGATCTCTCTCTCTATTTATGAAATCTTGATTAACTTGCTGATGTAGCAATTTCATTTGAGCTAGTTCTAGCTACTTGGATTTGTTCAGAAACAGTACCCTTAGTCTTATTCCATTCTTTAACATTTGCCTTCATAGCTCTTAATTTTTTCTATAGAATATTTAAAGGACTCCCTGTAACATCCTTCTCCCATTCTTTACAAACAACTGATTTAACTTCATCATGTAGACACCAAATTTTGAGGAATTTAAAAGATTTTGGACCATGAGAGCAACCAAAATACCATTGAACTGCCATACCATAATGATCAGACAAAGATACAGGTGTGAGAGAAACCTTTGACTTAGTGAATTGCTACAGCCATTGAGAATTCATAAGAACTCTATCAACTTTGCATTAATCCTTGATTGTAAGTTCTGTTTGTTACTCCAAGACCATTCTCCATTATTTATGGGAAGGTTTTCCATACTTATGTCCTAAATCAACCTGTTGAATTCATCCAATCTACATTTAGGAACTCGCAGACCACCTTTCTTCTCATGACTATATCTAATAATATTCCAATCTCCCATAGCAATCCAAGGGCCTAAATTTTTTTCAGCTTGAGCCCTAAGAGATTTCCACAGATCTCTTCTTTCTTTAACTCTATTTGTAGCATAAACTCCAGTAATAAAAATTTTACTACCAAACACAATATGTTTCACTTGAACTAACATTGCTTGAGCATCTTTTTGTATCAATTCTCCATCAAACAAAGCTCTATTCCAACTAATCCAAATTTTTCCCAAATAGCTAGACTTATAGTTAGCTAACCAACTCCATTGAGGACAAAGTTTTTTTTTTTTTTTTTTTTTTTTTTTTTTTTTTTTTTTTCTGAATTTTAGTTGCCCTACCTTCCTTCACTCTAGTTTCCACAAAGACAACAAAAGCAAATTTGTTTTCTAGAATCCACTACTTTTCTTCCTTTTGCATGGGAGGTCTATTAAAACCTCTCACATTCCAAGCCCCAAACATTATTGAGACAATGGCAGTGAATTACTGCTTGTTTGCATTCCTCTCTTTATTCTATTTGAGGGAGGCACATAGGGTTTCTTTCTATGCCTAGAAGATTTGTGCTCTTTCATTACTTGTAATTTAACTTCTTACTCCACAGCCTAAGATATATTCTTGAATATCTCAACTGAGTCCACAGTCTTAATAACTTGTGAAACTGGGGTACATAAATCTGTCATAACTTGACAATCTTCTGTTGAAGTGTTTGCCATTGTCACAGCCAATTCTGCAATATTAACAACCATATCACCTATATCTTCAATTATAGGAACATTGCTGGTCTCTCCCAAATATTTTTCAATGTAAACCTCCTCCTGAGATGAGCTTTCTGCCTCAGTAAATTCTAATAAACCTGTATCCTTTGCAACATTAATTTCTGATGATATGACAATACTATCATTAGTAGTATCTTTCAGAGCAACAACTTCCTCCTCAACTGTGTTCTTCTCATTCAAAGCAACAACTTCCTCTTCCACTGTGTTCTCCTCATTTGTACCATTATTAGAACTTAACAACTCAAAGGCATTAGAAGTAGAAACTCCAGAAACAACTTGTGGATTTCTTTGTGGCATATCAACAAACACCTTCTCAGTGTCAGCAATTTTAACCAATTTTCCTTTCTATTTGACCACCCATCGATCCATGGTTTTCTTAGGTTTAGTAGAAGTCTGAAGAATTTTTTTGTGGACATCCCTCTTCAAGATGGTCAATTCTTTTGCATAACTTACATACTATCGGCTTCCATTCATACTCCAATTCAATATAACAGTCAATATCGTGAATATCAACAATCATATAGTCTGGTAAAACCTCCTGTACATCTACTTCCACCATAACTCTTACGAAATGACCCTTATCCCTATGGGTCTCTGGGTCGTCCATATAGATTGGCTTTGCAAAAGATGAACAGACTTTGGATATTGATGCCTCATTTTGGTAATGCATCGGCAAGTCATGAATACGCAACCACATAGGAACGGTTTCAAGAATTTCTTTCTGTAAACTAACATTCTTATTCTATTTCTTCAAAATAATTGGTCTTCCCTCAAAAGTGTGGATTCTAGACAATACATTCTGAACATCTTCTTCAATCTTAAACCGCACCATGAAGAACCCATCCTTAAGGTAAACCAATGTAAAGTCTTTAGCCCAGTATTTAGCTACAAAGGCTTTGAAATAAGGGTAATAGGGCTTCTTGAACATCACATAGCCAACAACAGATGACTTCTAATATGCAACTTCCTTAATAACATCCTCATCTATAATTGACATTTTCACTCCTCTGCACTCTTGATGATACTGCAGATTTTTGAAAGTTGATTTTGTTTCATCAAAGAAACTATTATACTTAGGGCGAATAGGGGGAGAATTCTGGCATATAGACCTTACCAGCGGTGTGGGGGAGGAGGTCTGGCCCTCCTCCATGGTGGAGCCGAGACCCCTAGTGCTGGAAAACCTAAATCGCTTTCAGTGAGAGAAAAAGGGCAAAAAGGGTATTCAGAAAGTTCCAAGGTATTTTCAATTTCCTAGAGAGATGAAGAAGATGAAGAGTTAATGGAGAATTGTATATTCCTCCACTAACTAAAGGCTTTACACACATTAACCCTAAGCTATCACTACCTCTCACACACACACTTTCATCTCACCCCTCCACTTGTCACAATCTTACACACCCTCACAAAACTCCATCCAAAGCCTACACTTGTCACCATCCAAATCTCCCTCCCAAGGCTTAATCCGAGCCCTACACTTGCCCTTATCCTAAGCCAACAAGTGCACCAATTATAGGCCACCAAGTGGGTGAATCCTCACCCTCCACATGTCATCATCCAAAGCTTCCAAGTGTCACCACTACAAAGTCTACAAGTTGACCAATGAGTGTGACACTTGTCACTCTTTCCAAAAATTGAAAAGTATTCCCTCCCTAAAATATCTCACAAAATAAATTAAAAAAAGGTCCCTAAGACCAAAAATATCCAAAAATGTAATTACGCAAAACACCCTAAGAAATGAAAATATTTTCGAAGAAACTATGCATCCATACCCCTAGGGGAAAAGTAAACAAGTAACATGTTTTTCTACAAAAGTAAAGCTACACATTTCATTAAAATGGCATGAAATGGATGCATGCAAAGTCGGAATCAAATATGAGCACAAAACCGAACTCAAAACCCTCTCGGGTCTCCAAAACCCTAAGGTTACGCAAAAAGAAAAATAAAGCTAGCATGATTTTCTACGAAAATGGAACTAAGCATTTCATTAAAATCAAATGAGGTGAATGCACGTGATGTCGGAACACGTTTCTGAATAAGAAATCCTACTTCAGGTTTCTAAAACCTAAATTACGGGAAAAGAAACAATAAACAAATAAATGGACAAGCATACAATGTTATGCACAAGCATTGAGCTAAAAAGGTGAAATGCATAATAATGAATGGAAGGAATGTCGGGTGCCATTCCCGGGCACTCGACTCAACCTGAATGCACAAAAACCCGAACTCAGAAAGTACAATAACGAAAAAAAAAATCCGTAAAATAGGAAAAAGAAGAAAAAGACTCGTTTGTTACATCCAAACTTGCTTTTCTTTAATTTTCTTCTGCACTCTTTTAGTTGGGTAAGATTTTGAACCATGATCAACACCATGACAGATAGAACAAATTTGTGGCTTCCAACCGTATTCTACCATTATATGACACATAGTATCGTGAATCATAAATTCTATTTCAGTAGGTAATTCTTCATGCACGTCAACCTCTATCATGGCTCTTACAAATGCACCACGATCCTTAGCCATAGACACTTCATCCATCCGAATTGGTTTGGAAAATAGAGAACAAATCTTTGATAGAGATGACGGACCTCAACAATGCATAGGAACATTAAATAATTTAATCCAAATCTGCACTGAGCCCAAAACTTCCTTCTTTAGATCAACATTTTTGTCCCACTTCTTCAATATCAAAGGTCGTCCTTCATATGTACGAATTCCAGATGAAACATTCTCCAAATCTTTGCACCAGATCAAACCTGACTATAAATAATCCATCATGTAGCGTAACAAGTTTGATTTCACCCACTAGTTTTCACACCTTTTGCAAAAACGATTTAAGGTGATGATAATATGGTCGTTTTCCCGTTACATAACCCACTAGTAAATTTTCCCAGTAAAGAAACAACATATTTCTTTCTTTCCCAAAAAGCAATCAGAAAATCACTGCATAGGTCCTAAAGAAAGTGATGTCTTATAGACTCAATTTTCTGTTGCTCAGTAGGTTGTAAAATCCTCTAATTTATCGTCAAGGAGAAGATTTCCTTTTGTAAATAATTCAGTTGCTTTTTTTTTTTCAAGATAATATTATCTTTAAGTGTATAGATATGCTTATTTGCTGGCGGAGTTAGAAAGTCAAAAGCTATTGACTAACCTTGGAAAGTAGAGCATATTCCTTATTCATTCATTGATCTCATTGATTGGCTGCGACCCGAGCGTGTGCACAAAATAATGCACAACACTTTGGTTTTGGAAATGGTATCAAGCGGGCATCATAGTTTACATTTGTAAACCGCTAGACACTTATACTATGTAGTATGAAGTGAGAAGGGATCGAACCCAAGGGATTGAACACGTGTTGGGACTAAACTTGATTTTAATGCTAATTAGATTGTAAAAGAGAGAAGAGAAAGAGAGAGAAAGAGTGTGAGAGAAAAATATTTTGGTGGAGTGATTAAACTAAAATTCAATTAAAAGCATGAAAATAGAAATGACATTAAACTAAGAATTAAAGAGATAGGAAGAGAGTCTTAGGGTTAGGATTCACCACTAAGCCCATGCAATTAACCATATGCTTTCAATTAATGGGGAATTTATTAGTGTAATTATAGATGTGGTCACATTATCATCACAAATCACAATTATAAGCATAGATTATCAACATCAAGAATGAATTGTTTACCTAATGACAATTAAACTAAAGTGTAGAACCCATTCAAGACTACGTCATAACCCACCATACACATTCACAAATGTATTCGATAAAAGCACACATCAATTAAGAGGATAATACTAATTGTAATTAGAAGTATGGATTAACATAATCAAGCACAAATTGCCTACTTTACTACAATTACCTAATGACAATAAGCTAATTTGTAGAACAACCCATCAAGATTAAGCCTTTATCCATCAAATTAATTTACAATTGTATCAACTAAGTCTCATGCTATGGCCATCACTAAACACAACTAAAAGAAGTATTTAGTGTAGAGTATAATTCTAAATCAATCACACATAGACATGCAATTTTCATATAGAATTAATGGAAGAATTAATTTTCAAACATCTAATGAAGAATAAAATCCCTAATTAATCATATATAGACATACAATCAACTTGGAGATTTCAATGGAAGAATTAATCAATACAAGCCCTAATTTGTCAAATCAAGCATGTATATATAAATAAATCACAAGGCCAAATATTTAATTACAACTTAATAATTCCCCAAGAAAAGAAAAACAAAGGTTTAGGTTACATGAACTTAGGGCTCATCCAAGCCCTAAGTGAAGAACTAGCTCATGGAGGAGATGATCATGGTGTCAACAAGTTCTATCTCCATCTTTTGGCCCTTCTTCTTCTTCCTTCCACTGTAGACAAAGCCTCTGTAAAAAATATTCTTGAAACCCTCGCTTTTTTTCTTCCTTTCGTTTTCTTCCAGAGAGAACAATATCACGATACAGATTAAAAAAAAAAATCAAAACTTAATTCTTCAAATAATAAATCACTAAACTAATAAATACTAACCCTAAAAACAATGGGCCTCACTGGGCTTAAGTAATAAACCTAATAAAGCCCACTAGGTTACAAAATAAGCCCAAACATTAAAATAAAAATATGCAATGTTGCCAAGTCCTGGGGGATTGATCTCCCACCCTGGGGGATCGATCCCCCACAGTTAGAAAATTCCTTTAAGCCTTATTCAGCTCCATTTTTGCCCCGGGCTATTTGGTTTGCTTCTCCATCTTTGGGAACATCATCAAAGGCCCGAGATTGACCGTTTTGTGCCATTTTCTGAAAATATTTGCTTAACTCCAAAAAGGCTTAATTGGACCGTTCTTAGCTCATTTTAACTTTATTGCCCTGAAATACACATAAACATAAATTAGGACTAAAACATAAACTTAAGATAGATGCAAAGACTGAAATACCCTAGCTTAGGTGCTGAAATGTGCAACATTTAAGCACTTATCACACCCCCAAACTTAGATATTGCTAGTCCCTAGCAATGAACTACAACATGGAAATGAAACAAACATATATACAACTATGAACTAATTAAGCAAATAAAGATAACACCATTTTCGTAGAGATCACGGTTGCATTTAGCATATGCAACAAGCCTTTTAAACCCCTAGGTGACCCCTAGTGGACGAGTGAAGTCTCGTGAGGGTTTCCAGAAATGGTACCTACAAACATCAAAAGCTCTTTCTTACTTGAGAAGCAACGACACATACTAAACAAGTGTTGAAAGTAGACTACCTCAAGTATGCAAATTCTGCCATTTCTAAGCTATTCTCAACATTTCAACATCATGTAAGCAAAAATGGTCCTCCACACATCAGCAATTAATCATGCAAATTAAATCAATTCTATCATTCTTTTTGAGTGAACCAGCATCAAAATGTGTTGCTATCCTAGCAAATCAAAGTAATGGCGTAGCCTTACCCTCAAACTAGCATACAGATATAGTACCAGACATCAAGACATTGAATGAACCTTGTTATTCAATCAAACATTTTTTTTTTTTTTTTATTGATTTCATTTTTATTATTTTTATTTTTATTTTTTTATGTATGACCATGTGCAATGTCCAAGTTCCTTAAGCTCTCTAATCACCCCATGTAACAAGCGTTGAGCCAACGACTCCCAAACCAGATGGTCTTAGGGCGTTAAGTGTAAAGACACTCCTAAGGGCGT